CATGGCCCGAGCTTCGGCTCTCTCGGTTCTGCAACCCCTTCCCCTCCCCAATAAGCCCTGCTAGAGCCCAATAGGGACCCTGCCGATCCCCGACCCCACCCTAGGCCCCCGAACGCTGCCTTTCCCCTCCCTACTCCCCCAGTTTAAGATCCAGCCAGCCCAGACGACCCAGGCGCCCGAGCAAGAGGGTAACCCAGGCGACCCGGCCTCTTCGGTCCTCTCGGCCCCACCCCCTGCAGCCGGAGCCGCGCCCCCCTCTACCACTGATCCCGGAGCAAAGGACAGACGAAACTGAGCCAAGGGGATTGGTCTCCAGGCGACCCCCAGCCCAATTTTGTAACAAGGGGCAGAGAAATTGTCTTCGTTTGCTGACCCCTAGCAGGAAAACAATTTTAAGGGAAAGATAAAAGGAGACGGAGGAAAGGTGGCAGCTAGATTATTTAGGAAAGGCAGAGGAGATCGGGGTGAGTCGCCATGGGGGCTCCCAGGGCCCAGCACCCGCCGCCTCCCCAGCTGCTGTTCCTAATTCTGCTGAGCTGTCCCTGGATTCAGGGTAAGGACATGGGAGTGTGGGGGTGGGCCCTGGGAAGGCCCCCAGCGGGTCCTCCACCCTTCTTTCTCTGAACATCCTGGATCTTGAGCTGGGGGTGGGGGAAGGGGTACAACTGACGGGAGGGGGCAAACCCAGGCTTTCTAGCTTGTTCCTGGTACCTTTTAGCCCCCTGTAGTGAGATGGGAAAATGAATGAGGGAGCTTTTAACAGTGTCTCAGGGGTTAAATCCAGGAGGGAGGGCTGGGAAGTCTGCGGAGGCGGCAGAAGCACGCAGGGTACCTGGGTGGGAGATGGAGGTGCTGGGAGAGATGCCAGGCATTGCACACACAAATGTTCTCGGATATGTGGACAAAGACAGATGAACAGAGGCAGGGCTCAGGGGGCAGATATTCCGTTCCCTACTCTGAGCCCCAGATTCTAGGGAAGGAGGCAGAGACTGCAGAGAATCAGAGAGAGAGAGAGAGAGAGAGAAGACAGCCACACTGCAGAGACAGAAACCCAGAGAGAAAGCCGGACACCACAGAAGCAGGGACTGGGAGGTGCTGCCAGACCCTCTGCAGAAGGTTGGGGGGGAGAGCACCATTGGGGTGAAAAGAAAGACAGCACTGAAGTCCCCTCTCTGCCCTGCTGGCACTGTCTGGGGTTCACAAGAGCTAAGGTGCTCACCGAAGGCCCACGTAGTCCCTTGGGAAAAGAGAGAGAGAGGGGGAGATGCAGAAGACTGAGGGGCAGCTGGCAGCCCCTTGTCCAGTCTTGGCTGTCAGCCCAGCCCGGGAGCCTCCGGATTCTTGCAAGCCCAGCTGATGGCAGAGGGGGGAAGAGCTCTGGGGAAGATCTCTCTGGAGAAGGAAGGGATATAGGGTAATGGAGAAGCTCACACAACTTCACCTCCTAGGTCTGCCCCTGAAGGAGGAGGAGGCACTGCCAGAGCCTGGAAGTGACACCCCTACAGTGGCCTCTGAGGCCCTGGCCGAGCTGATCCATGGGGCCCTGCTGAGGAGGGGCCCAGAGATGGGCTACCTGTCGGGTGAGGCCCCCAGATGGCAGAGTGACATAGAGGCATTGGCTGGGAATATGGGGAGCCAGGCTAGGGGAGAGAAGTAGCAGCAGAGAGAGACTGCAGAGGGAGGAAGGCTGGCAAAATTCAGGGGGTGGGGGACAACAAGTGAAGAAAGTCAAAACTGAGCATAGATAGAACAGAGAAACAGAATGATTAAGAGACAGACAGAAAAACAGACACACAGGAAAAGGTGGAAATTCAGAGAATCAGAGTTAGTGAAATGAAGAGGGAGAGGAATTCAAAAACTAGGAGGGAGATCCAGAACCCTAAACTCAGAGAGCAACAAGAACATTAAGCAGAGAAACAGAGAAGCATTAACATTAACAGAGAACAAGTCAGAGGAGAGGTAGCCAGGAGAGGAAGATCTGATCTGGAGGCAGAGAGGAGGCTCTTAGGGTGGAGGGCCTGGGGAGACAGTGGGGAGGAGAGAAAGCAGGGAGGGGTTCAAGCTGCGGGGAGGAGGTGGGGAGTTTGGATGGGGAAGGGAAAGGTGGGGGGCCTGTAACTGGCGTGGAGGCCTTTAGGGCTCAGTGGGGACACCCCAGTTCCCCTCCGCCCTGCTCTCCACCCAAGGCCCGCGCGGCGGCTCCTCCAGTGCCCTGACTTCCCTTGCACTGTCCCAGGCTCCGATCCAGACCCCACACTAGCCACCCCTCCAGCCGGCCAGACTCTTGCAGCGCCCTCCCTGCCGCGGGCCACTGCGCCAGGGACAGGCC